ACTTACAGGTGATGTACTTGTTTGACAGCAACCACTGGAGAATCTGTATATAATCATGACGGCAAACAACTTGTACTAATTCGTTTTGATAACTTATCTCCCTTTCAAAACGTTTCAATAACGGTTTCAAGACATCAAAGTTTCCGATCCGTCGTTTTGCCACAGTATCAAATGCCCAGATCAATTGACTATTGTCATCATTGTACTCAGTCAGTTGTCGGATAATACTCTCTGGACAATGGGGATGACCGACAGCGAATACCAGCGGACTTCGATTATCAAGTGTACGAGACCGAAATAGATCAATTTTCTTTTCATCGTTCATTCCGGCGCAAAGACAATTGAACATCCTCTGAAGATCATCACTTGATGATTGATATCAATCTGTTGGTCGAATCGTGTTGAATCAACGAGTATTTTGACCACATCCGGAATATTTCTATACGCATCCGATGAGTCGATTTGCGAAGGTCGTGTTGGTCCTTTCTGATGAGACCACAGTGGATTTGATTGTGCAGCGACATGGAGAACATTTTCACCATTTCCACCAAGAACATTCAAATCTAAACGAGGTTTATTTAAGTGAACCAGCGATGTTCTTGATACACTCACCGCATTTGTATGGCTTATCGTTATGTATATGTCTTGTTCCAACCAGAATTTTCGTGACGAACAAGTTGTTATTGAACACAGCATAATGTAATGCTGACCATTGCTTTTGTTCATCTAAACATTTGATGAGTTTTCCGATCTGATATCGTCTCAACCCCTCCTCCTTGATTTTTCCTACAAATTTCGTCCATTTTTCTTCTGCTTTTGTATAATTCGATTCAGATGCGCTCTAAACATATCTGAAGATATTAATTGCTGAAAAGAAACTCTTTGTTACTTCGTAGAGTAATTCTTGCGCAGATTTTGTCCCTATCTGATCGTATTCAATTGCGGATGGACCACGGATTGGTTTGCCACTATCGATGCCGGATTCCACAACTTGATTTTAGTCGATTTCATGTTGAATGGAAATATGTTTATGTTTTGTTTGCAAAGAATTGTGCGTCTGTTCTCTTCTCGACAGTAGAAACAGAGAAAGCTGCACATTGCTGTGGGAAAATGTCCACAGTCACCATGGATTTATGAAAGGATGACGAAGCCCATAAGAAAATAACAACAAATCAGAGTAATGTACTTTTTTTAGTGACGAAAACGAATTACACAAAGAATGTACAATTTGTGTTTGAATTTTATTTGTATTTAAATACAAATCAAAATATAACAACAGCCATTGAAGAGCACTATGTTTCTCTCTATCCATCATCTTCATCATTATGCTTCCATTATACGTCTCACAATCGATAGTGTTGTTAACGCTGTTTCTTGTCTTAAATCCATCAGTTCTAATGTTGCTCGTTTACAATCCTCTCTATATTTTCATTACTAACAAACTGCAATCTTAGATACCATGCAGTTTGTCTTTTATGTTTATCAATTACTGTGCGAAATCAGGTAATCCCGTTGCTGTTCGAAACCATCGATCAACGAATAAAATTACCAGTATTTCTCCTGTTCGGTAGATACAAACAAACATTTTAAAGAAAGGAAAAAAAACACAGACATCGTACGCAACAAGCGAAGAAAGTTTTCATTGGGTTTTTTCCCATTTTGGGCAATATGAAATATTACCTGCAATTTGAATAGACACCCCGAAATAAAAGTGTTTTTTTTTACTTCTGGCTTTCGAATTAATATACTGGATGATCTAATAGACAAAAGATAAGACAAATCTCTAATTAGAACTAGAAAAAAAGTGCGAATAATTATGTCTAGACGCAACTAAATAATATCGAAAATAAAAAATGATGCAAATATAAAAAACTGAACAAGTGTGGAATAATATAGTTCAAAAATGGTATTATTTTTCATCCTCACTTTCGATGATTGGTAGAGCTCGAGTAAGTTTGTGATGTCAATAGTCAACTAATGATAAAATAGCACAGAGAGGAAAGATAAGAATCATAACGACAGCTTGAGATATCTTGGTAAGCATTCATCAAGATGCATGTGTGGCTCGTAATATTCGTATCTGCGGTGGTTTTACCCGCTCAGAGTTTGAGAACATTCGGTATCGGTCTTTCGTCGCAGTGGTTATATCCAAACGAGGTAATAATTTGTAATGATGAATTTGCTGGTAGTAGATATGTTTTTTAGTCTGAAATTTTCAATTACACGCTGAGTACGCGTTCATCATGGGGAGTCATGACACATTTTTGGGTAACGGGAGATCCAGGTAAGTAAAAATTTATTTCGTCAAAATTACTGCTTATCTTCGAGCTTAGCGATTGATCTATCGACATTCTCGTATTACATTGACGGTGAAAGCGTCCCATCGATTGAGTTTGTCAGTTACATGGTAGCTGGTGCTGGTTTCAACGATCAGACGGCGCCATGGGGTACCACATGGATGGGTAAAGGAGCTAAAGGTGGCGCTTGGTACAACAATTTGTAAGTTACATGCAGTTTTTGACGATTTCTAAATAATCATATTCTAGTCGAGTACCTTTCCAAAAATCGATTCGAATAACCGGTCGTTTGCCCCCGGGTATCATCGATAGAAAAATGATATGGATAATCGTACGCGGCACAGAAAACTTAACAACTTCATTCCATGGCTTTCAACTTCCGCCGAACGCGCGATTAACTTTACACAAAATTGAAAACAAAACATATGAACCTTTCGCATGGGTTCGTCTTGTTGACGTTCCTACCGGTGAAGGTCTTCTTCTTTCGCATAGTCTAGCAGTAACCAGCGGCAATTTGGAATTTCTCGAAGGATGTTACCATGCTTATCCCGATTACGCGCAAGCATTTCCTGGTGTTATCATAGCGACTGGTACGGAGGATTATTTTGATAGTGCCTTCTATTTCAATGGTGGACAGTTTCGCTTTGAAGTGTCGGGCTTTACACATTTCCGACAGGTATCAAATAATACTCTAGAATGGTCGGCCTACCGTATGCATGACGTCGATCCGATCTTTTTTGATAATGGCTTTCGATTTGAATGGAGAAACGGCGATGTGGTCGATGAACGAGGCTTTAAATGTATTGTGTATCAAGATGGAAATCCAATTGGATCACCTACAACATCAGTCGTTACATCCTACGCGTGGGTTTATACTTGGTAGATAGAGAAACAGTTTAATTTTTTTTTCGAAAATATAACTATCGGAATATTGATTAAAATTTTTAGTGATTGAAATATACGAATAGTAAATGATCTTTCTAATCTCACAGATATTTAGTTTTTCGACAACATAATTTTCTATTATACATGTAATGCTTAAGTGTTGGGCATAGTTGGCATTGAGCAACAATAGACTAAAGATCAAGTGTTCTGCGTAATCGACAAATCTGTACCATCTGTCTTAAATTTAGACAGAGAATGAATTTATTTTAAAAGAGCAAGAAACGGTAAATAGTGCTGTCGTATTTGTTCCTATAGATACTGCGAAGCAACGGATTCAGTTTAAATGACGTAGTTTTGGAGTGGGCCGAGAAATGAAAGTATCTTCAACGAATAGAATACGTAATAGGATAATACAAGTGATTGTTCCAGTTGAACATAACTAAATCTAGTATGCAATTCATTTAAGATTAAGAACAAGAACCATTCACCTCAAAATTTATCTCGGAACAAATTGGATGTCAAGGGTTAGTAATGATGGGACTTCCATCAGCTCTATCTGCAACATAGTACGACATACTCTTTCGATTTTGTTTTCTCCTTGAGTATATGAAATGAACTAACCGAAGACCTTGAAGAGATTCAACTATCTCTGGTAGAAGTGGAACGAATCAGCCGAGTTTGTTCTCAATATTTGAACTGTATAGTTATGAAGAATACCGACAGAGACCTGCCGGTTAGAAATCGTATTTACAATCTTAAATAAAAAAAAGTATGTTCAATGCAGGCTGCTTAAGCTCGATTCCAGAAAAGTGGATGTCAGTTTATTTGATTCTTTCATTTACGATTACTGCGAAGTAGTTCTATTAGATTATCTCCACATTTTATTTTCGGAAATCACGCAAACGACAACACTTAAGCCATGTGTAACTTAAAACGATATGCTAGTTGTTGGTTAACTATGATCGACATGGATATTTCTCTTTTCATTATTCATAATTCTCATCATCCTTATTAGTCATTTTATACTTTCATTAGCCAAACACACTCTGTGCCTATTCAGTTTCTCTTGGAATCCATGTTCACACACATTCTTTCGACATGATCAGTTCCTCTCATTCAATCCTCAGTGTCATTCTAGCTGCGCAAGTCATTTTGTTTATCAACCATTCACCTTAACATCTCGTTACATCAGAAGCTATTTCAAATAAAACATTCGGTGCTCAGCCGAGTCAGCTTGCGTAACAAATTGAAAACAACAGACATTGCTAATATGAACCGCACGAGGAATTTCATATAGTTAAATATATTGTACAATGGAATTTACTCCGGATTACGAATGAACTATAGATTTTCAGTCAAAAACGGTCAAGGTTTTGTCAAAACATCCAAATATATACTTTCAAATATTAATAACATGCGTTTGTAGGGAATACATTGGTTATACAGAGGAAGCTACACTTTGGCAATTAGAGCATAAAGTCGTAGGCAACAATTCGCCTGATAATCGTCTGGGAAATCCAACTTATGAAGTACAATTCTCCATTCCACCGCGCACAAAAGTGGATTGTTTACTATATAATTCACTGCTTCAATCAATCATGCATCTATGGACGTCAAGATCATCTCCTTGTGTTTTCCTCCGTCTTTTCGTTCTCTGACCACTTTCGCATTTTCTCGATCAACTCTTCATAGAATCATATGAGCCAAGTTTGAATAAATACGAACGATTGTATGCGAAATATGGCAGAATCTGTCTAAGCATTCGAGTTTTATTACTCGACGTGCGCGCCATCGGCCTGTCGATACACATACGTCGAAAGAAATGGATTTACATACATATGCTGATTACCATTTTGGGTTTCTATAGTGGATTGACTGGAGGGCGGTCGATTCTTCTTTGATATGGTTTGTGTACAGAAATGGATGGCAATGGTTTTCTATGACTCGCTTTTAAGTGTTACCATGAAGTGAAGGATACATATACATCTTCAAAGACTCTGATTAACATTATTTTATTGAACAAAATGAAAATCAACACTACGTCATGCGAATCAAATTCTTGCTTTACCGATTAAGGAAAACGAAACATCTTTCACAAGTAGTTCGTTAGACAAAGTTATTTAAAGATATTACCAACGGATAGAATGTGTGATTAAGGAAAGTTATAGCTGATGCATCAGTTAAACTAGAATTATTCACTTTTTAGTGGACTAAGAGATGATAACGATTGCACCTGACCTTGAACTTGTCTATACCAAGAAAAGCTTTGATCTTACTTTAATCCATAAATTTAAAAAAAGAGATATTTATTCGTAGAAATATTCACCACGATAAAAATAACACTTTAAAAATATGCTTTCATTAAATTGATAGTTATCATCTAGTCTACAGGCTTACAGCCACTATTTCATCTATAAACTTTTCGCGAGTGCACATAAACTAAGTGCACGATCGTAGTTCCTTCGAATATAAACTTCATCATTATCATTTTCAGCATGATCATCCCCAATTTCTTCAGAGAATAGAGCAAGATCAATGACTAATTTGATCAACAAACGTGTGTTGTCACTAAATATACCATCAACCTTCGTATTCGATCTGAATGTTCGTTGTAAACGAGTTAGTTCATGTGAACAACAACGAATCAACATCGATCGAATTGAAGAAACTGTTCTACAACGACATACTACTTCTTCAGTTGTTGTTGTTGTTGTTGTTGTTGTTGTACTTGTCTCAATAATTAAACAAGCAACTGTTAATGATGAATATGTATTCAACCAACACCATAGCTGTTCTTCGCTAGATAAAAGAACTAAAGTAATATCACGAGGAACTAAATATTCGATAAGTGCATTTCTTAACGAAGATTCTTTTTTCCCCAACCAAATCACAATCACATCTCCTCTACGAACTAATATAAACATGTTTATCACATACTTTGTTGCATATTGGAAACAGTCTACTTACCATTGCCATAGACGCGAGGCGATAATTGTTGAATCTGTTCATGATGAACATCGGTTTGGGGTGATGTTGTCACATCTTTAGACAAGTGAACGGTCGATAATGCTTCGACTAAAGATGCCATCGTCGTCTCAGTTACACTTACAACATCTGAATAAAAAAATGATATGACCTCCTACTTTTTATATAAAGACGAAAAAAGCATTTTTTCCCAGAGAACGAAGGTAATTTGAATTTGCAAAAAAACCCAAAGAACAAAAAGAACCTGCACGGCGTTTTATTTTCGGACTGTTATACTCGAGAACATATAAAGTTTCGTGCAACTTGGTAATTTATCAATAAATATTAAACATAAGGTTGAATTTCTTCATTAGAAAATTGTGTTTTGCAACAGTGTGCTTTCATGAAAATCGATTTCTCGTTCGTTTACAGAGCGTGCATTTCCTCTGGTTGGAAAAAACCAACTTGACAAAAAAATCTGTCGTTCTTATAGGAAGAGAACGAAGGAGAAACATATGTCACGTGGTCCGGATCGGACATAAATATATATATGGTACTGATATTGTAGAATACAAATTTCACATGTTGACATCTTCAAAACAAAAAACAGAATTTATTCAAGAGTTTTTTTTTTCATTTAAATAAGTTGAAAAAACCGAAAATCTTTTCCCATTAAACAACGATGCTGTTTTTTTCCGACGTCTGCAACTCTTCTAAATGGAACAAATAAATATTCTACTGTGCAGATAACAATGCTTATAAACCTACATTTTAATTGTTCTACTTCACGTTTCAAATATTGATTCTCTTCTTGTAGCTTTATGATCGTCGGTTTAACATTACTGGCAAGCACAATTACCTAAATGTTATCTAAGTTGATCCCGTGGTCTCACTCATGGACAGCGAAGATTTACCAATCGATAGGATACAAGAACTTTCGCACATAATCCATCTTTGCGATGCTTAACTTCACTTTTGATGAAAGCCTTTTTTACCATGATGGTTACGGTTGACTAAGATTTTATCAAGCTCATGATCATCAATCAGTATCAGCTCTTCTAAAAAGTAGTTCGTTTCTACGCAAGCACGACATCATATATATGATGAAGATTTGGTCTTGTGCATTCTGTACATTTAAATGATTACCAATCATTTTTTCACAACCGTATTCATAATCAATATGAATTTCCAGTTGAATTTTTCACGCGTTTTGTACTGTTGCTGAAATCTAGCCCATGCTCATACATATAAATTACTCGTCTGGGTTTTTTCGGACTTGAGAAAAAATACTCATCTTGCAATAATTCCCAGTCACATTTGACGATCGAAACGAAAAACAATTCACTCGTGATCGTGACTATATTTTTGCACAAAACTCTCTCGTCATTGTACAGTCATTTATTTTTCTGATCGCTACAACCACCGAAGATTAAACAAATTATGAAAGCAATCTCTTCGAAAGACACGTGCTTTGGGATACGATGCGCCAAATTCTATATAAGCGATCTTATGTGATCGAATTGGAATGTTTATATTTCTTCCCAGCCATGCCGCAGATTTCAAGGGATAAACGTCCGAAAATAATCTCGATTGATATTTGAAACTGTAATCCAACAATTGCAGAACAATTGCTCTGTCATTCTCATAGCGACGTGTCCATAACCAGATATCAACGTGCGCTTGTCGTGCCGTTCTTTTGTCTGGAGATGATAGTGATAGTAGTTGCCTATTCGGGTAATATTCAACAACAAAACCATATTCTTCGAATTTCTCAATGAAGAAGTTTATATCATTTAGCTCCGAATGAATATAATTAGATTCAAATGGCCATTCGATTGATAGATCCACATCATGATCCCATACATTGTATGTTTCATTTCGGAGAACGTTCAGTAAGGATTGACAATCAGGCCAATAGGCGATTGACAGATCGTCGAACATGTTCATGACTTGATGAGTTAGTTTCATGTTTTTCTTCGAGTAGTTTTCAGCAACTGCACATTGACCATGTCGATAATAGAATTCGAAAACGAAAGTAAATAGAATAATCACAAGTAAGAAACATAAGATAGCATAACGAAGTATTCCAACTGGTGTTTTACATAGAAGAAAAGATGTTCTCTTCTGTGAATAGAAGGAAATCAAAGTCGACTTTAGACACGTTGATTTCATGGTCGTGGAATCTAATCTAAAATGTAACTTTAATTTATTTTCAAGCAAGAAATTGAAACATTATTCAAGGACACAAATTAAACACTATCACACATCGTCTGACTTCAATGTACGACGCACGCAAGCTTGTTTACTCGAAACTAATTGATAACAGTCAGTACTTATCCACTCTTCGCGCCTATTCTATGTCAGCTTATAGATGTATTCAGCTGCTATTTTCAACAGACGAACTATGATACTGCAAATCTAACAAAACAATAAGCCGAGAAATATTTTAATGCGATACAGTGTGTGTGTTGTACTACTCAAATCATTGTGGTCCGGTTGGTTCCGATCGAAACTTGCTGAATTCGACTGGAATTATACCGAAACCGACTCAGGTTTAATCGAATCTAGTCACCGGAATGATTGTCGTGGGTAAATACCTTCTTCAAGACGTGGCTATATTGATCGGCTGTAAGGGTACACGGTAATTTATAAAATGTAAGGTTTCTTTTGCGACATCGAGTGAAAAAGCGCACTTTCGTCATAGACAGATTTTTTTCTCTTGTTTACTTGTTACGGTTTGTCTCAATATAGGGAGAGACGTGTAATGTTCCGTTAAAGTATTGACAGGTCCCGTTTATTAACGAAGGTGTAACACATGGTGCAAAACATCAAATAAACTTGTATTCATATTATAATATAATAGCACTTTTCGATGGTTTGGTTTGTTTTAATCTGATATAAGTTTTTCTTGACAATACTTTGACGTAACAAATTACATGATCAGTTTGATTTGTTGACCAGTAGAAGATTCATGTTTGATGAGGGTGTGGTTTAGGTTGTCTCATAGTTTTATGTCCACCGTACTATATTTAGAACCTTACCTCGACTCACTCTCTATCAATGTATAGGTAAATAATCCCTAAGCTCTAGGGGTTATTTCCGTGAAGTGACAGAGATGTTTATGACGCACTAACGATTGGTAAGAACCTGCTTAAATTACAGAGCTAAGAAGTATATATAACAGTTTTTCAACACAAAATAATATACTGATCAACAAGTCAAACTGATCATTCAGTGTAAAATGCACGTAGAATATCCTACCTCCTGATTCGAGTATTTCCAGCGCGGGTTCGCCTGTGCAACCATTCCAACTATACCAAGAAGCATTTTAAATAGAGTTCAGCGAGCTTTACAGCTTTCTGATAGAACACTTCTTTATCAGACCCCATCTCCCCACCCAAAAATGCAAAAAAGTACCCAAAGTGATGAAAAAGAGTTTTTTTTCTAAAAGTTTTTACAGTCTTTTTCGATGAAACAAACATTAGTCCTAGATAGATCTTGAATAATGCTATCGATTTCACATATCATTTCTCATTTTCCAACGTCTTATTGCTGAGAAACATGCTAATTTCTATTATCTGAGCGAAATGCATCTTTAGTCTTACCATCCATTAGTCTGTTTGTGTTACCCGAGAGAGATGTGAGAATCAAAAATAGTCTGATTTTTACAAAATATTTATTGTTTGAACTTTTTAAACATTTTAATTATTTTTAGAAATTCTTTTCTTTTCTTATTTTTCTCTTCTCTAAAAGAAAGGGTCACCCATGTCGACAGGTACACCATTAGTGCGCGTACGAAGCGGACGGCGCGCATTTCGAGAGTGCACCTCCATCAAGGCGTACGCGCACCGCCGTCACGCAAAGTTCGCGTACCAAACGGACGTACGCATTTCGAGAGCGTGTCTCCATCAAGACGCACACGTATCACAAAGTGCATTATTAATACACTTTCGTAATTTTCTGTTTGGTTAATTTTTCAAACTGGAATCTGTTGCAGCAATATATGACTGAAAATTCTAGATCAATTTATTTCCTTCATAATTCTTTTTATTGAGAATTTGAGGGTGAGATTTAGGTTGTCTCGTAGTTTTATGTCCACCATACTATCTTTGGTACCTTACCTAGACTCGCTCTCTATCAATGTGTAGGTAAATAATCCCTAAACTCTAGGAGTTATTTCCGTGAAGTGGCAGAGATGTTTATAACGCACTAACGATTGGTAAGAACCTGTTTAAATTACAAAGATAAGAAGTATATGAGTCCATTGCGACTTTATTGTACAATTGGTCTTTTGACGTATTTTGCTTATAAGTCCAGTTCTTGTTGGCCAATTCAAAAATTTTTTCTTTGGGTCACTGAGTGAAACTAAAACTAATTTTCCTAGCAAAGAAAGAGGAATAAAAGAGAAAGCAAATAGTACGTTTTGGAGAGCAACTTTCAGGCTATCGAAATATATGATTCATAAATTTGTCTTCTTTGTGTGATCGTTTACGGAGGTAATACTTTTACACACACATGTGGCTCCAGGCGAAAACCAGCACTGTCAGATTACGGAAACTATTTTTAGGAAAAATGAACCTACCATAAGACAGAGTATAAGAAAACTCTGTCGAAAGAGTTTAAAATATTTCAAAAAGAAACAAAAAACGCTTTTGTCACTCACTTTGTAGCTCCTAACTATCGAAAGTGTTTCGTCAGTGGCTTGTGATGCATTCGATCGATTTGTTCAAACTTGTATCGAAGTCAGTAAATAAAAAGTTCTTTGAATGGAAAAAATTTCAGCTATACAGCATTTAAACTTCGGGAGAAACTTACATTTTAAGTCAAAATCTCTCTTGTGAATGCTCTTTTTCTCTCTTTTACAAAAATATCCTCTTTTTCCTCCTTTTCTATATTTTTCCCGCTAAATTGACGAGAGTTTCAACTATAAATACTAAAAAAATAATCATTTTTCGGATCAATCTTTTTTTGCAGTAAAGAATGCCTCTTCATGCTGCCAAATTTAATATGATTTGATTGAAAAAGTTAGATTCTTATGATATTCGTGTTAAACGATGGTTAAAACAAGGTAAATAATAATCAACATTTTCTGTACTGTTTGTAGTACAGATAAATTCAGTTGTGCGAATAAAGGATGGCAACGTGTCGAACAACATACGAACAATAAAAAGATGCATACAAAAGTCAAAATTGATTAAAAAGAATTCATCGTTTACTCCTCGAACTCAATCAGCTGGTATTGAACCAGAACAAGATGGCTCATTATCAACAATCGCACTTATACTGCTCCACGAAAATATTCAAGTTTTCTAGACCAAGTGACATGTGCTAAAGCTTTGTGAGGTATAAACACGGCTCAACAAAGATATAGTTAGTTTGCATGTGATGAATCTGATGATTTATTTCGACAAATGTTTCTAGATTGAAAAATTGCTGAAAGTTTTGTTTTTATGCTTTGACGATAGCAAAAGGGCAACCAAAACAAGAAACAGTTAGACTTATTATTGCAGTATTAGAGTTTTGAAACGCAATGCGTTGTTACACGCTATTATAAATCTATCCTTCTTGGTCATGCAACTGCTCATGTTGTCAAAGATATTATTTTAAATCCTTTTCAAACAGAGGAAATCGATGTAGGAAATCGCTAATAATTCAGTTAAAATTGCATAACATCAGTTTTCTAACACAAAAGAAATCTCCTCCTTTTTTTCTCTTTTAATCATATATCTTCCATTTTTTTGAGGAAAATCCCCCGATTCCTCCTTTTTTAAAAACTGCCGTTCACATACTAGCAAAATATAGCTCCAGATTTTTCGTAACTCCAAATTTCTTTACACTGATTTTTGGGAGACCTTTCGTCACAAGTAGTAGTACTACATATCACTTGACTCTTCAAACTATGCTGAGTGTTTCAGCACGAAAATACACCTATGTGTTGTATCGATTTTTTTATGCCGCTTCCAAGAACTTCTTCGGGAATTACATAATGCGAATGAAAGTATGTGTTCAATTTTCATCTGAAGAGTGTAGGTGAGGTTGCTGACGAAGATGGATGTGTCTTTCCTTCACCCTCACCCATACTCTAATTATCATTGACTAATAAAATAACAACATTGTCGTTTTTGACTCTGTTTCGCAATACAATATAGTGTCGACTCACGTTTTGTACATCTGTTGAATACTCTCAGAGCACAAAACCTATATAACTAGGTAACGTTATATGCAATAAGAACAAACCGAGAATGGACGTTATCTATGTTATCTTCGTTTTTATAAGATTGACTTGCGGGACATCACCGACTTATAGAATTGTCTCTGCTACTTCATGGATTACAGATCCGATTTCGTTATATCCAGATTTTTCAGCGAGTTTAACACCTCTCACTTTCCAACCATCAATCTTTCAATATTCTTTTCATGACGCATCTACCGTGTTCACATGTGTAGCACGTAATTGTAGTCGAGTGACAATGACACCAATGCCGGGTCTAAGTGTCGCACAACTAGCGTACGGAGGTGTTTCACCACGCCGCATTCATCAGCAATCACCTGCGATTGCCGGTGCTCGATTTTTCTTGTCAATTGGTTATGCAAAACCAAATCGCGACGTAGAGTTTATTGTCTGTGCAGCTGAAGATCCTACTTGTGCAAAACCTCGAGTGATGAACACAGTTGATAGTCGAGGATTCGGTCAAGGTGGCCTTCGTTTGACATTCGCTACAGCACATGGATTGCCAAGTATGTTAATACCAGAAGCTAGATATGCCTCACGTGATAACCGAGTAACCGGATATCATATTGAAACTTGTCAAGATCCATTATGTGCATTACCACGATCCGCTGCATCGTTACCATTTAATTTGACGGGCACTGCTAATTGTTTGGGAACGAGTATTGATGTCGCGATCAATCGACACGGTTTTCCATCGTGGCTGACTTTGTGTGATGAAGAACTGAACTTGATCCATTGTTTAACTTTGCAATGCAATGAAACACTCGTCAATCAGTTTAAAGTTAATCGTGATTTTGTTTATTTTGTTTACTTAGCTGTGGATTCACATTTTCGATTTACAATTGTTACTACCGGACAAACAGCGCAATCTGGTATTTCCGCATCTTTCAAATATGTTTGTTTTGATCTGAAATATTTCTATCTTTTACGTAGATATCACTTATATTCGTTGTGTCGATCCGGATTGTACTGAATCGATTCAATCACAACTAACCATTTCAAATCGACCGTCACCCACTCGCACGCCTATTGGACGAGTTCAAGTTGTTATCAATCCGCTTACAGATTTGCCAATATTTCATTTAACAGGTTCCATCTATCCGACCGACGTTCCTGTATATATGTTCGTCATATGTCCGGATATCGAATGCAATATGTCAGAAGCAGTCTATGTTGATTATGGAGTAAAGTTCGGTTTGAATCGAGTTCAAGTAAATGATCTATTTGTTGATGATGAGGGAACGGTGATTGCTAGTGTTCGAACGACATACAAAGCAACTAATGATACAATTAATGTTATTGTGCGAATGGCGCTGTCAAGCGAAGCAGAAGTTGAAAAATTGACATTTGTTGAACCTGTTGTAATCTGATAGTTTGTAATACACCTTTCATTATACCACCAAGTTTAATAGAAAACGAGTACTTGACAGAAATTAGCACAGAACGAAAAAACAGGAGTGAATTATCTGTATGTTTTGTACAGCCAATGAATCAAAACGTGTCTATTTGTGTTCTGCTCAACGTTTTATTCCAGCAACGTTAAATCGAATTCAAAAGCACGGTTCTTGCTTTACATCATTGATCGTCTTCCCATCTAACTGATAGCTGCCCAGATTCTTCTCGCAGTTTGGACACTTCAAGTCGCCACGCACGTATGGACCGAATTGTTCAGTTACCAATGAAATATACGTTAAATAGGCATGATTCCCATCCTTGTGAATTATATCCTTTTCGGTGAATAAGTTGGTTTGACATTGTTTACATACGTAGAACGGCGAAACAGACTTCTCAGACGGTAGAAGTGCTAAGAACTGTTGTTTTATTTGACGTTTTCTCTCGTAACCATATGTTTCAATGTATTTCAGTCGAAGACATTCAAGTTGATGTGCTAGGCAACGCTTATGTTGACGATCAACAGTGTATCCAAGATCGAAGAAGAGTTTAAGTTGACGTTTAAAGCCTACGAAATGAAATACGTATCTGAATTCTTCACTTTTCTACACATACTCAACATTCGTCAATTTAGACTACTTTCAGCGAACAAACTTTCTTACCTTCATTGACTAAGATATCTGGTCGCTTTTCTTTCAAATGTTTTTCTGCTTCGTCATAAGCATACTGATACTTTTTCATCAAGTACATTAGGGCAATTGTAGCGCTTCGACTTCTCCCTGCGTAACAATGAATTAACACTTGATTCGCGTCATTTTCTTCCAACGCTTGTGTAATAAAATCGTAGCATTGTTCAAATTTGCCCAGAAGATCCATGTGAGGTACATCATGAGAATTGATATATAGACGTTTGATCTTGACTGACGCATCGTCTCTTTTGAGTATTGGTTCGAAATCGAGAACAGCCAAGACATGAGTAATATCTGGAGGTAAATTTAGTGCCGATTGTAAGTTGCCAAGACAGATTCGATGATCAAATTTATTGGCAGAAAACATATGTGTTTTGCAAAAAGAACATAATCACAATAGAAAGAAAAAGAAACGTTCGCTGCATATCAATAAACAACTATATTATCTCATCCTTCTCTTCAGGCGAAGAAAGATGGTACTGACCGAATGTATCGTATACGATCAACAGATATTTCCTGTCAGACTGTATCTGCTAATGAAAAGAGAACGAAGCGGCTATGCATTCTATGTATAAGTGATGATCTCACGAGAGGGCATAAGTATGCAGCTATAACGAGAACATTCATCGATGCCTTCGATTCACAGGTAGAAGCCATATGTCCGCTCATGGTACATCCGTTATTTTGCTCCAACTGGTATATTTTCGAAAACGGCATGGAAGAAAGAATACAAGACAAGCATTTTCGATATCTACGCAAGTTTATTAATGTATATTCATTTAACCGTTTGGGGACCAGTAGCATTTTAAAGTGCCACTGAAATCTCATGCGGTCTTATGTATAAGAACTCGAGCTTGTTTCACCTCTCTTCAAAGTAAATGTTGTTAATAGTATTACTTATAAACATATTCTTGTAGATAATTATTATGGTACAAAGCCAAACAATTAAATACAAAATTCTTCAAATGCAAAACTATTCGGTATTCATTTTATTGATATTCCTGAAAAACTAAGAAAATATTCGATTGTCCATCATCAGGAATTTTTACATTTCCGAGTGGAGATTTGATTATTCTTTATAATTTTCATGATCGTCCTTCAGGAATTACTTCTATTTCTCATCAATTTTCTTAATCATATGACTTGAGAGCTCTGCACGATATTTATCGATGAAATTTTTGTCGCTTATAATTATAACGGATCTCTTCTTGAGAGTGTGGATCGATATAGTTCTTCCCCTACTCATGCAGATAAGTAGCAGAAACAACGTTAGAATGCGTTAATCTCTGCAAATTTTACGAGTGATAGCACATTAAGTCGTCGTTTGAATGAAACTTCAACGTGTTTCATGGAAAGTTGTGTCTATCTGGACACTTTTTGCATTCATTTTGAAGCATAAATCGATGAGTTCTGACGTCAATGTTTATTTTTATGGAATCGATTCATAAAATAATGTAGCGTCGATCAAAAACTGAAGAAAATTGTCTTTCTCTCTCTCTCTCTGGAAGAAAAGTCTGAGTGAAATCAAAAGATTTGTGACACTGGATGGCGAGCAGTTGATCCATAGGCCTTATAAGGCATCATTGCTTTTGATATATTCATGGCAGCATCTTTTAAATCGAGTTTATTCTTGAAAGTTAATATCTTCGATCCAAACGCACCACTAACTTCAAGTAATTTCGAGCGACAACAGCAACATGTTCGTAGAAGATACCCAAGTAGCAAGAATGGCCACATGCATGTTATAATAGCAAGAAATGCAGCGCAGCCGAACGTATACTTGGTGTCACTTGCCTCAGCGATCATTCCAATATCATTCAAATAGATCGATGTGTCAACATGAGCACCTTTCGTGCAACAACCACCCGCTTCCTTGTCGCGAGTTATTAAACGATTCTTAGTCAACGTAACTGCGGTTTTTGGTCCACAAAAGCCCGAACATCCCTGCCGACATTCGTACACGCGAATAATCTCTTCTCCGTCGACACAATCGAATGTATTTTTCAAGTGATAACGCGCGGTCGGCTGAATGGTAACATTGTCTTTGTTCATCTACAACCATTCGCAAGGTATCATAAGGAGAGATATTCAAAATATGTTACTTACTTCTTTCGTAAAAAAATTACACTATGTCAAAGCTACCTGTAATAAGAATGTTGGAAAAGGAAGTGTCTTTGAATAGGTATGTTATGAAAAGACTTCTTATCACTATTCCGTGAGATTTACTCTATGTCAATAAATAGTTTTTTACGAAAGGGTAGTGCAATTCAATAAAAATCATTTGCTTGTGTCAACAGAACTAAGACTTTCACATGTTCTGTTTGGTTTGTGTTCTATATCGTTTATTTTCTGCGACAGAATTGTAATTTGTTCGGCTGATGTATAAGAACTGCTGAATTCTCAGAATTATATAAATAATTGAAAATTTTCATGTACAAAATCATACTGTCACAGTCGAGCGTAAACATCACCTATATCCTCATGTATTTTACCTATGTTCTGATTGTCAAAATCAACAGCAGATTCACTAAAATTCGGTTTCTTAGCTTTATCTTTCAATTCAAGCTCTAGTTCTTTTTGTGTTTATATGAAAGGCCTAAACAATAATGTGCTCGGCTTTCGATGATAATCTGCGATAATTCCTTACTTATTTAAGCGATCTGGTAAAAATCGCGTTCAGATTTCTTGTAAATAAATCTCGATTAGTTTTTTATAATTGATTTGCGCTTCATCTAGGCGACCAGCAGATGCTTGTAGTTTTGCTAGATTCATAATGCAACACAAAAACCTTGAATAGCTGCATGAAGAACTGACTTGCATTTCTTCAAATTTCAATTTTTCGTGTTTGATTGCAATTAATGTCAGTGACCTTCGTTGACTTTCAACATTCTCCAGTGAAGCAGCTTTCTATTCATACAGTGATACAGTAAGATTGTAGAGTTTGATTTCTTTATCGAGATCTGTGCTTGTCGGCAACAATGAATAGCAAAACTCAATTCCAAGATCATATTGTTCATCAGCAAGTTGTGAATCTTTCATAAATACCCGGTACACCCAACCGATTTGCAAATAGATCTAGGCTACATCAAGTTCACACAATGCAAGACTATGATGTCTAATTGCATTTCACCATAAGGTTTTTCCATCGGGAAACAGCTGATGTCAGCTTTACCGACGCGATATAAATGTTTGGAAATATCACTCTCATCCTCACCCACACTCACACTATAATACAACTCTCATGCTTTGTCTTTCGTTTTATTCAAAGACGTATATATCACTCGCAAAAGATGTTGTCCAAGGAAAAGGAAATACTATAGTCCATGATCACATTTCAAACATTCCGTCAATATTGATAGTTGGTGACATAGCAAAGTATCCACATCAGACACGATAATAGATTATTACAAAAATGAAGTTCAATATTAACACAAAGCGGCTGATTAGTTATATGTCAGAGACAACTTTAAGCCCTCTCATAGATAAAAGAAGCAGTCATTCTGAATCAAATTCTTGAATTTAATTCTTCTTGATTAATTCGATATTTTATTCGTTCAAACAGTGCTTCATATTTTTATTGACATGCATTAGTAATACTCCCACACCCTTATCCATCTTTCCCTAACTCTGTAAGTAGTTGGCTGTGGTGAATCTGAAGAATCGCAACACGCCACACAACACACAGTTGCACAACAGGATACGATTGCGAATCCCAATGCTGACAACACTGTTGCTCCAATTATTTCTACAAGCTTTTGCACGAGTATATCACACCTAGAAAAGAAATGACGTCATCACATTGAATGAAGCTAGAGGTCGTTGAGGAACAAATATGCGTACTCTGTTATAGTCGAATGAAATATACTGTTATACCATAGCATTCCCTAACAATCAAGAAAGAATGAAGACAAAGCTCGAGAGAAAAATCGAAATTTTATTCAACTGTACCAATATACTCCAGATAACGTTGATAACGATGAATACAGTGATCGGTCTGGTAATTTTTGCAGTATAATTTTCGAGCCGATAGTGTTTGTTCACTAACTAAAAATAAGAAAGAAAACCAATCTATTACTTTCATCTGTAATAAAGGAACTGATAAAGATATACGTCAGTACAACTATTGTATTCGAAGTTCCTCTAGTTGCATATACACTATGTATATGAAATCGTGGCTGTACATGTTTGACTCGCATAAAGGTGAATGAGCAAACTCAGATCGAAGTGTGGTTTTTAAAAGCTCAGATTCATGTTATGATGGGACTAACCACGCGTCAATATTCTCTAGTTACTTAACATATGAACGATCATATAAATCCCAAACACAATACCAAGACAGCCGAAGACGATCAACCATATTGTCAGTAGCGGTTCAGCTGGACATGATCTGAACCGAGATGCACCGATAATAAGTGCAGCAAAGAAAACAGCATACAGTAATACCAGACAGACAATACCAACGAATATGCCAAATACTTTACAGCATACATTACAAAAGCCCATTGTATGTTTTTTATTCTAGATCGACAAATTCAAATTGGTAATATAGTCTGATATAATTGAATATTGATTCGAGGTTCGTACGTTTGATCTAGAAAACGCGACATAACTGCGAGGATAAGAACAGTAATTATTGAACAAAGGACTTTAATTTAAAATCATTTCGAGAGTATGCGGGTTGTCATATCAGTAACGTGCGACCATCGGCGCAAATATTCGTTCTTCGTCTGCCCTCTAATCTATATCCTCAAGATTGACGAGGAATGTTCTATATGTATTCGAAATGATTTCACTTCAGCTTGTAGTCCTGAGTTAACTATACTAGCATACTTTACACGTGTAATAAGAGTCTTCTTTGTATCTGAAAAATCATGCCTTACCACTGTGATACGCTTTTGTAATAATGTGTTATTTCGCTCGTTTTCTTTCTTTTCAAAGAAAGTCTTATCAGTTTTGCTTTGATCATTTTAATGCTTTGCAAATTGATGTTTTATTTTTGGAGAAAAATTGTCACAACTTCATAAAAATCCAATCCATGTAGGTAGTTTCCAACACCTATCTTGATGGCGTAGGAGATGAAAACCTTTTGATATTCACATATATTTGGCTTTCTATTGTTTGAATACTCGTCCAAAGCCTATCGGTTTGCTATAAACATAACTATTCATCAAAATACTTCAATTCGATGTTCTTTTCAAAAAATAAGGAGAAAAGAGTTCTCACCTTTCAATATATTTGAATGCACGACATCGTTCTCGATTAGACATAATATATGGTCAAGGTCATGACTGCACTGCCGTAATCAGTTAAATTATTTCGAAAATATCTGTAGCCAAAGTGAATTGTATATTCAAGCTATTTGAAATAAATAATACTCGTCGAGAATGATTCACACGACTTTCGTTTAAAGAATGAGCAAAAGCAACTTCTCGATTCTTACAGCAGCGAAGATTCTTTTGAAAATACTTTTCTTTAAAAATTAAAGTGAAGAAACAGAGTTATGATCCGACCAAATCGATTCTCAAGAAAATATAAGATTATCTATAGTACATTCATTGGATTTTATTTGATTTTCCAACGAATCCAATCCAATCCATTTGACATACATTCTTCCATCCCATTTTGTTCATCATATTCAATGAAATATCGTTATCACACGCAACAAAATCGACAATATGTTCTTGATATTTTAGTAGTTCAAATGCGAGATAAGTTACTAATAATGATTGTAAACCAAATCGACGAGCACTAGGTTTTGTAAAAGCCATTCCTATACATCCGTCGTATTGTGTCAAACACCAACTCATCAACTGTCCATCACAATACGCACCTAGAAAATCAAAATTAATTCTCAAGATTTCATAGCCTCATTTCACCTGACCCAATGTTGGTAAATGTTCAATTTGATATTTAATTCGACATAAAGAAAACTCATCTTTATATGCCCAATTATCATTAACAATATCAGCATCGGCTATTGATAATGGTCGAATAGCAATGTCTAAATAGATTCTTAAATTAATAAACGCGCACTTCTGAAATGTTCACCTGAAGGATAGGAATGTTTCATTGTTATTCTTTGATTTTCTATCGTTTCTTTTGAATAACTCATTTGATAACACGAATGTATATAGGAAACACTCAAGCCAAGATTACGAAAGTGATCTTGTACGATAAGTGAAAATCGCTGATCGCAAGCCTTTATCAAGATTTTTTCTGTTGTTGGCTCTGGAATGTATTGCTTTAACATAGAAAGAAGTATTTCATTGTCTTTCTCATCACAATAAAATCGAATAATCGTCTTAGTCGGTTTTTTATCTGTTGAGGCTGAAGTAATTTGTGAGTAAATAAGCAATACACATTTTATTCGAACTGGATCATTGACAAAGAGTTCGATCGATGAGAAATTTTCTTCATTGATTAAATTGCTTTGTATATTATTCAATAGATTGTATAATGAGAGTGATCTAGGATGATATTCTCTCTAAAAATGAGGTTTCTTTGCTCGCATAGTCATGGGAAAAGAAAATAACTTACTAGAAATTCTAATACCAATTGAAGATTCTTCATGGCACGTGTAGACAAGTCTATGCGTTGTTGAAAATCTTATTAAATCTAAAAGAAGCGATGAAGTTTGATTCTTTTATTGTCCTTTTAGATCATAGATTTTGGATTGAATTTACACGACAATGAAGACGCGCGGATAAAAATTATTCTATGATATCTTTTTTTTACAATATATGGCATACACTAATAAGAAAAATTGCGAAGAGAAAGAAAACTGTTTGATAGTTTCTCGCTTAAACTTTCACTGTATATGTTGAAAAAAATGAAATAAAGAAATGCATACTTTTGATTTTCGCTACCAAATCTCCATCGGGGCCCTGATGATGAGGATAATCTGAATTGTTCGAATCAATTGTCGCATACTTCAAATGTGAGTAGATCATAGGATCGATCAACATAATAGATAATGTGTGAAAGTTTTATCTCGGTCGACTTCGTCAAAAATTTATTGAAGAAGTCTCATTCGTCTTCAAATATACACATAACTTCAAAACTGAAGAAGAGACATACTTTTTCATTAGTGTACAATAAAACTTTACACTTCCCTATAAACTTTTAGGTCTGATTTTCTTCTTCTTCTTTCCTCTATTGTAAGTTGCATATATAGGATTGAGATGAGAATATAACCATCTGGTTAGATTGTTATTTTGAATAGTTGTACTTATTCTAAATATATGCAAGTAAAACATCGAGAACCGTATATTCGGGGAAATCGTACTCTGCGAAGAAAATTTTTCGATTTTTTTTCTATGAAAACACGAGTTTGTATGACTTCATAGATATCAATTCGGCTGAAATCTTAGATTCCCCATTTTATGTTTGTCGAGAGTAAATTTAGAATGAATAAATATTCACTATCAGTAAACCAGTGTGGTGAAAGATAGTTTTTGTACACTTAAACAGACACAATAGAGACACTATGAAAATAAAATAAAAAAAGTCTACTCCGAGTGATTTCGTAGTAGATAACGTCTACAAACAGTCAGCTATTGTTGTTTTGGTCTAGAAAATGGCCAGAACGTGCTTAGGAACGCTATGATGAGGATTGATAGGAGGATCTGAGCGAATTCCGCTTTCACAATCTTTTTGATAGTTATCACTCTCTGTTATAGTTTTATTAAAAAGTCGAGATGAAAGGAGACCACCAATATCCATGTCCACCGGCGGACTTAAGCGAAACTCACTCAAATTATTACACATAGTTGATGTGAACACGCCATCAAGAAGACTGTGCGTGATGTAAGGCATACATTCCATGGGGAATGGGAGCGAATAAACATGACATCGTCGTGATTTAGCAAAAAGATGGTCAATATAGTAGTCAGCATTGTATCCTCTTTGCAGAAATATGCTTCGAATAGCGTCAGACATTGGTTAAGGTAGTAGTCTATCAAAGTGGACTAATTCGCTAATAGTATTGAAATGAAATGTGCGTAAATTCGATAATTGGCTAACAATGAAGACATCGGATACAGTTGTTACCAAATACACATACAAAGGAAACGATTTGAGTTTATATAAACTGACCAATAAAATAGAAAATGTTGTCTGAAGATATCTGACTATTTGATGTATGTTATCACTTACTATATTACTTATGATTTTCAATGAATGGCGCATCTTCTTTTGCGAACGTCGTCTTGAACAGTGCTACATGTTCGAAGAGTCAGATATTCAGTTTGATCACAAAGTTGAGGTGATATATTGGTACATAATCGATCTAATATTGCGCTATTTTTTTTAAATTAATTACTTGATTCGATTCAGTGGACGATAAATCCGTACATTCAGTGAAGTTGATATCATGTACTATTCGATTGAATCTTTCATCAACACCAACCAATGAATACAGAATATCAAAACTATTGACTTATTTCAAAATATGAAGTAAAATTTTATCAGGTGGATTAGCAATGTCAACCATCGAATTAGTCGTCTCTATTTTAACACATCGCTCCTAGAACAGTTGTATACATATGCAGCTGACCTCATTCCGCCAACATCGCTTCGTCGTCCTCCGTCATGGTACTAAAGCGAATGACGGTGCGATCTTGGTGTGCTCAAATTCTCACTCTCAAACAAATTTACGTTCTTTCGGCATATACTTCCGTGAAAAGAAAATTTGTCTTGTGCGAGAAATCACGACGGAAACATAAACAGAATAAAAAAAAAACTTTTGAAGCGAGTGAAGAACAGAAATCTACGCTTTTCTAGTTACAGTCAAACCATACTCTCTCTTTAGATATTCTTCACAAACGATGAACTTACTACAACGCATGTCCATTTCAATCGCTTCGTATTCACACAACAGAAAACCTCCTGTTCCACTTATCAAACAACTTGGAATCACTCGCCTCATTGTATTCTCTTCTCTCTTTCTCATCACCACACTTATTCTCATTTTCGAACTCTACTATCAACGTGGTCAATGTGCTGTAGCTGACAAATACTCGAAGAAAAACATGAAACTAACTCATCAAGTCATGAACATGTTCGACGATCTGTCAATCACCTATTGGCCTGATTGTCAATCCTTACTGAATGTTCTCAGAAATGAGACATACAATATATGGGATCAAGACGTGGATCTATCAATCGAATGGCCACTCCTATCAAATCATGCTCATTCGGAGCTCAACGACATGAAAGTGTTCATTGAAAGATTCGAAGAGCATGATTTCAATGTGGAATACTATCCAGAGAGAAGACTGGTGTCATTGTCATCGCCGAATGAGAAGTCAGCACGTCAACCACATGTTGATATCTGGCTGTGGGAACGTCAATACAAAGGTGAAAGTGTCGTCGTTTTGCAACTATCGGATTACAGTTTCAAATATCAGTCGAGATTATTCTATGATATTTATCCGCTGAAGTGTGTAACATGGTTAGGAAGAAGAGTGAAAATCCCCGCTGAATCGCACAAGATTTCATATAAAGAATTTGGCGGATCGTATATGGTAGCCACTATTTATCGTCAAAACTGTCTTCATAATTTATTCGATCTGAGATGGTTTTAATCATGTGAAAAGTAAATAAAGTCATAGGTAAACACCTAATTACTAGTCGGAAAGACGACAGGATCATTACATGGAAAGAAATGATTATGGAGAAGTATTTACATAACTGCTGTTTCCTTCTATTTATCTTGGACAAGAATGATTTGCTATTCCAGTATTAAATATATAAAAACGAGTATCACATGATAGTTTAGCTAAAACTGTGTTTACATGCACAAATTACATTTACGCCTTCCTGTGCGCATTGGTCTATCTTTCTATTTATATATTGAGAATAACGTCAGAATTGAAGGAGTAAAATTATGCAATACAATCTAGTGTATATACATTTCATTTCTGATCAATGAAATGCGTTGTATTTTGTTGTTATTTATCTACTCGATCTGCTGTCACAGTTCGTTGTAATTTTCGATCTTCATGTGAGTCCAGACAACACACTACTTCTGCGTATAGTACTCAGACGATGATTCAGCATCATAGACTCAATTCTTAATTTATTGATAAAATATACACTAGGCGATTCCAATTCGATGCATATTTGAAGAGATCAGAGTCATAGCTACCTCTATTAATCACTATGACTTCATGCAGTCATGTTCTTACATATGATGACGAAATTACTCAATATATATTGTGCAACACACGTGACTTAGATAGAAAAGATTCGTCGCAAATTGTTTTGCTCGTACACAACGACAGAAGAAAATATGAGTGGTGTGATCGTCTTAGAAGATTTACCCAATGAATTATTCATCGAATTTTTTACATATTTAACATCATTTGATATAATTCTCGCTTTTGGAAAGTTAAATCACCGCTTTCAATCGTTAATTATGCAGTACTGCAAAAAATTTGATTTCAAATTCATCAATAAATCCCAATGTGATTCTATCTTTCGCGTGCAAAATACAAACCAATGGACATCATTACGGCTATCTGATGATGATCGAAAGCCATTCTGGATCGATCATCTCATTGAAAATTATATTTCAAAAAAGAACTTTTCTCAATTACAATTTTTGTCTGTGGGAAGCCTAAAAGATAATGTTCGACAATTGTTCTTTTCTATGCTTTCATCACTACCTAATCTTGTTTCTTTATCAGTCGATTCAGTATGTGGAAAAGATATTTTACCATTTGATTTACCAAAACTTCAAAAACTTGTCTTCGGTTCTTGTTTACATATCGATTGGATTCAAGTAGGTGATCGAACATTTAGGTCTTTATCAATCTAGATTTTTATTTAGAACTTTTCTCAACTTGAAACGATTGAATATACAATCGATCATTCCTGTGAGAGTAAAGATAAACTCAACTGGCCACGGACAACTAAGCATCTCAAATTTGTTTTAATGGTTGCAACTGCACATTCCTTAATACTCGACTCTCTCGTTCCTTTATCTCAGTTAACAAAACTAGAAATTTATCAACTGCAATCGCAACATGTACCTGTGTTTGGTCATCGATGGGAAGAACTCGTTCGTTCGTCATGTCCATTATTAGAAATCTTTNTATTTGAAACTGTAATCCAACAATTGCAGAACAATTGTTCTGTCATTCTCATAGTGACGTGTCCATAACCAGAGATCAACGTGTGCTTGTCGTGCTGTTCTTTTGTCTGGAGATGATAATGATAGTAGTTGCCTATTCGGATAATATTCAACAATAAAACCATATTCTTCGAATTTTTCAATGAAGAAGTCTATATCATTTAGTTCCGAATGAATATAATTTGATTCAAATGGCCATTCTATTGATAGATCCACATCATGATCCCATACATTGTATGTCTCATTTCTGAGAACATTCAGTAAGGATTGACAATCAGGCCAATAGGTGATTGACAGATCGTCGAGCATGTTCATGACTTGATGAGTTAGTTTCATGTTTTTCTTCGAGTAGCTTTCAGCAACTGCACAATGACCATGTCGATAATAGAATTCGAAAACGAAAGTAAATAGAATAATCACAAGTAAGAAACATAAGATAGCGTAACGAAGTATTCCAATTGGTTTTTTACATAGAAGAAAAGACGTTCTCTTCTGTGAATAAAATGAAATCAAAGTCGACTTTACATACGCTGATTTCATGGTCATGGAAACTAATCTAAAATATAACTTTAATTTATATTCAAACAAGAAATTGAAAAATATTTCAAGTACACAGATTAAGCACTATCAGACATCGTCTGACTTCAATGTACGGTGCACGCAAGCTTGTTTACTCGATACTGGTTGATAGCAGTCGGTACTTATACACTCTTCGAGCCTATTCTACGTCAGTTTATAGATGTATTCAGCTGCTATTTTCAACAGACGAACTATGATACTGCAAATCTAACAAAACAATAAGCCGAGAAATATCTTAATCCGATACAGTGTGTGTTGTACTACTCAGATCATTGTGGCTCGATCGGTTCCGATCGAAACTTGCTGAATTCTACTGAAACTGACTCAGGTTTAATCGAATCCAATCATCGAAATGATCGACGTAGGTACATACCTTTTTCAAAACGTGGCTATATTAATCGACTGTAAGGGTAGACGGTAATTTATATAATGCAAGGTTTCTTTTGCGACGCCGAGCGAAAAAACGCACCTTCGTCATGGACGGAGATTGTTTTCTTGTCTTGTTTACTTGTTACCGTTTGCTTCAATATAGGAAGAGACGCCTAATGCTCGGTTAAAGTATCTACACCTATCGTTTATTGACGAAGGTGTAACACATGGTACAAAACAACAAATAAATTTGCATTCATATTATAATATAATAGCACTTTTCGTTGGTTTGTTTTACTCTAGTATAAGTTTTTCTTGACAATACTTCAAGATAACAAATTAAATGATCAGTATTTTTTGCGAATGATCAGTTTGATTTGTTGATCAGTAGAAGATTCATTTTTGACGAGGGTGTGATTTAGGTTGTTTCATAGTTTTATGTCCATCATATTATCTTTGGAACCTTACCTAGACTCACTCTCTATCAATATATAGGTAAGTAATCCCTAAGCTCTAGGGGTTATTTCCGTGAAGTGGCAGAGATGTTTATGACGCACTAACGACTGGTAAAAACCTGCTTAAATTGCAAAGATAAGAAGTATATATAACAGTTCTTCAACACAAAATAATATACTGATCAACAAATCAAACTAATCATTCAGTGTAAAATGCATGTAGAATATCCTAGCTCCCGATTCGAGTATTTCCCGCGCCGATTCGCCTGTGCGACCATTCCAAATAGAGTTCAACGAGCTCTACAGCTTTGTGATACAACATTTTTTTATCAGATCCCATCTCCCCACCCAAAAATGCAAAAAACTATCCAAAGTGATGAAAAAAAGAGTTTTTTTCTAATTTTTTTTACAGCGTTTTTCAATGAAATAAACATTAGCGCTAGATGGATCTTGAATAATACTATCGATTTCATATCTCATTGGTCGTTTTCCAAGGTCTTATTACTGAGAAACATGCTAATTACTATTATCTGAACGAAATGCATCGTTTGTCTTATCATTCAGTAGTCTGTTTGTATCACCCGAGAGAGTTGCGAGAATAAAAAATAGTCTCATTTTTACAAAATATTTATTGTTTGAAATGTTTAAAAATTTTAATTATTTTTAGAAATTCTTTTTTTTCTTATTTTTCTCTTCTCTGAAAGAAAGGGTTACCCATGTCGATAGGTACACTATTAGTACGCGTACGAAACGGACGGTACGCATTTCGAGAGCGTACCTCCATCAAGACGTACGCGTACCACAAAGTACATTATTAATGCACTTTCGTAATTTTCTGTTTGGTTAATTTTTCAAACTGGAATCTGTTGCAGTAATATATGACTGAAAATTCTAGATCAATTTCTTTCCTTCATAATTCTTTTTATTGAGAATTTCAGGGTGAGGATGTGGTTTAGGTTGTCTCATAGTTTTATATCCACCATACTATATCTGGAACCTTATCTAGACTCACTCTCTATCAATATATAGGTAAGTAATCCCTAAGCTCTAGGGGTTATTTCCGTGAAGTGGCAGAGATGTTTATGACGCACTAACGATTGGTAAAAACCTGCTTAAATTGCAAAGATAAGAAGTATATATAACAGTTCTTCAACACAAAATAATATACTGATCAACAAATCAAACTGATCATTCGCAAAAAACACTGATAATTTAAATACGACCCATACTTAAAATATCATTGAGTGATAAAATAACTACATTGTCGTTTTTGACTCTGTTTCGCAATGCAATATAGTGTTGACTCACGTTTTGTACATCTGTTGAATACTCTCAGAGCACAAAACCTATATAACTAAGTAACGTTATATGCAATAAGAACAAACCGAGAATGGAAGTTATCTATATTTTCTTCGCTTTTTTACGATTGACTTGCGGGACATCACCAACGTATAGAATTGTCTCTGCAACTGCATGGGTCACAGATCCTATCTCGTTATACCCAGATTTTTCAGCGAGTTTAACACCTCTTACTTTCCAACCATCAATCTTTCAATATTCTTTTCATGGTGCATCTACCGTGTTCACATGTGTAGCACGTAATTGCAGTCGAGTGACAATGACACCAATGCCGGGTCTAAGTGTTGCACAACTAGCGTACGGAGGTGTTTCACCACGCCGTATTCATCAGCAATCACCTACGATTGCCGGTGCTCGCTTTTTCTTATCAATTGGTTATGCAAAACCAAATCGCGACGTAGAGCTTATTGTCTGTGCAGCTGAAGATCTTGATTGTGCAAAGCCTCGAGTGATGAACACAGTTGATAGTCCAGGATTCGGTCAAGGTGGCCTTCGTTTGACATTCGCTACAGCACATGGACTGCCAAGTATGTTAATACCAGAAGCTAGATATGCATCACGTGATAACCGAGTAACCGGATATCATATTGAAACTTGTCAAGATCCATTATGTGCATTACCACGAACTGCTGCATCGTTACCATTTAATTTGACGGGCACTGCTAATTGTTTGGCAACGAGTATTGATGTCGCGATCAATCGACGCGGTTTTCCATCGTGGCTGACTTTGTGTGATGAAGAACTGAACTTGATTCATTGTTTAACTTTGCAATGCAATGAAACACTAGTCAATCAGTTTAAAGTTAATCGTGATTTTGTTTATTTTGTTTACTTAGCTGTGGATTCACATTTTCGATTTACGATTGTTACTACTGGACAAACAGCACAATCTGGTATTTCAGCATCTTTCAAATATGTTTGTTTTGATCTGAAATATTTCTATCTTTTACGTAGATATCACTTATATTCGTTGTGTCGATCCGGATTGTACTGAATCGATTCAATCACAACTAACCATTTCAAATCGACCGTCACCCACTCGCACGCCTATTGGACAAGTTCAAGTTGTTATCAATCCACTTACAGATTTGCCAATATTTCATTTAACAGGTTCCATTTATCCGACCGACGTTCCTGTATATATGTTCGTCGTATGTACGAATATCGAATGCAATATGTCAGAAGCGGTCTATGTTGATTATGGAGCAAAATTCGGTTTGAGTAGAGTTCAAGTAAATGATCTATTTGTCGATGATGAAGGAACGGTGATTGCTAGTGTTCGAACGACATACAAAGCAACTAATGATACAATTAATGCTATCGTGCGAATGGCGCTGTCAAGCGAAGCAGAAGTTGAAAAGTTGACATTTGTTGAACCTGTTGTAATCTGATAGTTTGTGTACCTTTTATTATACCGTCAAGTTTAATAGAAAACGAGTACACTGACAGAAATTAGCACAGAACGAAAAAACAGGAGTGAATTATCTGTATGTTTTATACAGCCAAAGAATCAAAACGTGTTTATTTGTGTTCCGCTCAACGTTTTATCCCACCAACGTTAAATCGAATTCAAAGCACGGTTCTTGCTTTACACCATTGACCGTCTTCCCATCTAACTGATAGCTGCCCAGTTTCTTCTCGCAGTTGGGACACTTCAAGTCGCCACACACGTATGGACCGAATTGTTCAATTATCAATGAAATATACGTTAAATAGGCATGATTCCCATCCTTGTGAATTATATCCTTTTCGGTGAATAAGTTGGTTTGACATTCTTTACATACGTAGAACGGCGGAACAGATTTCTCAGACGGCAGGAGTGCTAAGAACTGTTGTTTTATTTGACGTTTTCTCTCGTAACCATATGTTTCAATGTATTTCAGTCGAAGACATTCAAATTGATGTGCTAGGTAACGTTTATGTTGACGATCAACAGTGTATCCAAGATCGAAGAAGAGTTGAAGTTGACGTTTGAAGCCTACGAAATGAAATACGCATCCGAATTCTTCACTTTTCCACACATACTCAACGTTCGTCAATTCAGACTACTTTCAGCGAAGAAACCTTCTTACCTTCATTGACTAAGATATCTGGTCGCTTTTCTTTCAAATGTTTCTCTGCTTCGTCATAAGTATACTGATACTTTTTCATTAAGTACATTAGGGCAATTGTAGCACTTCGACTTCTCCCTGCGTAACAATGAATTAACACTTGATTCGCGTCATTTTCTTCCAACGCTTGTGTAATAAAATCGTAGCATTGTTCAAATTCACCCAGAAGATCCATGTGAGGTACATCATGAGAATTGATATACAAACGTTTGATTTTGACTGACGCATCGTCTCTTTTGAGTGTTGGTTCGAAATCGAGAACAGTCAAGACATGAGTAATATCTGATGGTAAATTTAGTACTGATTGTAAGTTGCCAAGATAGATTCGATGATCAAATTTATCGGCAGAAAACATATGTTTTGCAGAAAGAACATAATCACGATAGAAAGAAAAAGAAACGTTCACTGCATATCAATAGACAACTATTTTCTCATTCTTCTCTTCAGGCGAAGAAAGATGGTACTGACCGAGTGTATCGTATACGATCAACAGATATTTCCTGTCAGACTGTATCTGCTAATGGAAAGAGAACGAAGCGGCTATGCATTCTATGTATAAGTGATGACCTCATGAGAGGGCATAAGTATGCAGCTATAACGAGAACATTCATCGATGCCTTCGATTCATAAATAGAAGCCATTCGTCCGCTCATGGTAAATTCGTTATTTTGCTCCAACTGGCATATTTTCGAAAACGGCATGGAAGAAAAGAATACGAGACTAGTACTTTCGATATCTGCGCAAGTTTATTAATGTATATTCATTTAACCGTTTGGGGACCGGTAGCATTTTAAAGTGCTATCGAAATCTCATGTGGTCTTATGTGTAAGACCTCGAGCTTGTTTCGTCTCTCTTCAAACTAAACGTTTTTTCAACGTTCGTATGATGATTAGTATTTTCTTTTTTCCTCATGCTCATTTATACTTCACGAATTTTTCTGTACTGTTCTTACACATATATGTGCTGAACTTTTCTATTTTCTTCAACTGATTTTCAATCACGTCATATCGATTCTTGTTTTCGTTTTTAGTTAAACATTTAAAGTCATATATTTAACTGGGAAATTTATAAAATTATTTACATGACAAACATAATAATGATTAGCTCGATTATAAGCAACTCAAACTAAATTTTATCGACATGGTTTTTCATATAGAAATGCTCTTATTAATAATGTTACTTATAATCATATTCTTGTACATAATTATTATGGTACAAAATCAAACACTTGAATACAGAATTCTTCAAATGCAAAACTATTCGGTATTCATTTTATTGATATTACTGAAAAACTAAGAAAATATTCGATTGTCCATCATCAGGAATGTTTACATTTCCAAGTGGAGATTTAATTATTCTGTGTAATTTTCATGATCGTCCTTCAGGAATTACTTCTATTTCTCATCATTTTTCTTAACCATATGACTTGAGAGCTCTGTACGATATTCATCGATTAAATCTTTGTCGCTTATAATTGTAACGGATCTCTTCTTGAGAGTGTGCATCGATGCAGTTCTTCCTCCACTCATGCAGATAAGTAGCAGAAACAACGTTAGAATGCGTTAATCTCTACAATTTTACGAGTGATAGCACATTAAATCGTCGTTTGAATGAAACTTCAACGTGTTTCATGGGAAGTTTTGTCTATCTGGACACTTTTTACATTCATTTTGAAGCATAAATCGATGAGTTCTAATGTCAATGTTTATTTTTATGGAATCGATTCATAAAACAATGTAGCGTCGATCAAAAACTGAAGAAAATTGTCTTTCTCTCTCTCTGGAAGAAAAGTCTGAGTGAAATCAAAGATTTGTGACACTGGATGGCGAGCAGTTGATCCATAGGCCTTATAAGGCATCATTGCTTTTGATATATTCATGGCAGCATCTTTTAAATCGAGTTTATTCTTGAAAGTTAATATCTTCGATCCAAACGCA